CCACAAAATGGCACTTGTCCAAATTATGTACTCTTTGAACCCTCCCGTGCTTGTCGACTTGATCATTGCCTAGAATACCCGCATGACCCAGAACCCATCTCAAAACGACCCTGTTGTTAACTCCAGGGCGTTTTAACGGTTCACGCTGTCTCCTTCCTTGATCTTAGTTATTATAAGCATCATACTATATAAACTTATCATAAATGTGTTATATTACAGGTGCGAGCGAAAATCAGCGACTTGAAATCCAATAAGAGGATCAAGGATATGGGAATGGCTGTACCTTGCGAAGAATCAACGGTAGTAATCGTAGGCGGTGGTCCATCGGGTGCTACTTGTGCTGAAACACTTCGTGGCGAAGGTTTCAAAGGGCGTATCACAATTGTCGCTAAAGAAAACTATCTTCCTTATGACAGAATTAAAGTATCCAAAATAGGTACGGTCACAGATATAGAAAAGCTGCAAGTTAGATCCGAACAATACTATAAGGATGCACAAATCGAAGTAATTAAAGGTGTTGAAGCAACGAAACTAGATTCTCAAGAGAAATTCGTTTATTTAAGCAATGGGTCAAAATTACGTTACAGTTCAGTATACTTAGCGACAGGATCTAAACCACGAGTACCAGACATTCCCGGCATAGAATTAAAAAATATATTTACTGTGAGAAATTTTGAAGATTCCGTTAATATTCTTAAAACCTTAGGTTCTGAAAAAGATAAAGATGTAGTCGTCCTGGGATTAAGTTTCATTGGACTGGAAGCTGCTGCATCTTGTTCTCAATCAGCCAAGTCTATGACTGTTGTCGGTAAAGACACTGCACCTTTAGGCCAAATATTTGGTGAAGAAATAGGTCGAAGTCTCCAAAAGTTATTCGAAGAGAAAAACGTCAAATTCCATTTTAGCACAACAATTACCAAATGTAATGGTGAAAACGGAATTATAAAATCAGTTGAACTCGCAGATGGTACTACTTTACCGGCCGACATGCTTATATTAGGTGTGGGAACGACATTATACACAGATTTTCTTAAAGATAGCGGTATTGAACTAGGGCATAACGGTTCAGTTATTGTTTCCGAAAAATTGGAGACCAATATTAAAAATGTATACGCCGGTGGTGATATAGCTTATGCGCCTGTATTTGCTCACAACAACGAACCAATGAGCATCGGACATGTGGGATTGGCACAGTACCATGGTAAAATTGCAGGCCTCAATATACTGAAGAGGGAGACACCTCTTCGAACCGTGCCTTACTTTTGGACAATGCTCTTCGGTAAATCCATTCGATACGCAGGTTGCGGAAAAGCCGCCAGCTCTCAAATAGAAGGAGACATTAACGAGTTGAAGTTTGTCATATTTTTCTTTGATAAATCTGATAAAGTGATAGCTGTTGCTTCTTGTATGAGTGATCCTGTAGTCTCACAGTTCGCCGAATTACTTTATCAAGGTAAATCTCTGCACAAGAAAGATCTTAAAGAGGATCCTTTTGCTTGGACGAAGAATATATACTAAGGTAAATTATTTTTACATGTGAGGATTGTCTATATTCTAGGTTTGTTTATGCTTAAGTCAAAGCACAATGAATTAAATTGCACTTTCCAGCTTTGTTGTGTCTGCGCTTGTTAACTGAATCTTTTATAATTTATTTTTATTGTTAATATACTAACCTTATAAGAAGTATCATGATGTTAAAAATATCCACTATACAACATCAGGATATGTTTAATATGTTGCGTAAAAAGATATTTTATTTAGAGGTTTGAGTTTACATATGTCTAAAAGATTTAAAGTGAAATTCTCTTTAAAAATAATATTTATACACTGCCAGTATTTTCAATATTTAAAAGGTTTTAAAAAGTTACTTCGCAAGCATCCGCTCTATAAAATGATGTGTCTTACCTAGTATGAAGAGCACCTCCCGCCCTCCCTCAGTTGCGTGCACTATCCCCGTCACCACTAATCCCAACACCACTAAACTAGGAAAGACACACCACTGACTCTACAAGAGGCATTCTCAGGTGATGTAGACTCTACGGTGGCTGACCGTTAAGTGAGCAGTGAGCCAAAACAACTGCCTTTTTTAAAACCTTTTATATAATGGATTTCCGCAAAGTAACGCCTGATTCTATTAATTATATTTTCAATGTTGTTAAAACTAAAGTATTCATTATTTTAATCTTAAGTTATAATGTCAAACAGTAATATCTAGTGTAAATTGTGAGAAGAAATCGTTTGATGTTTGAAAATATTGATTTGAAATTCGTATCCATTCCAGAAATTAGATGGATGTTTCATAATAAAAAATACATTTCCGACATTAAAGACACTATATCTATTGTTATTATTATAGTTTGTTGCAGAATCTTTTTTCCTAAATAAATGTAATTTATTAATAATGGTAGTTATTTAATGACTAAATCATCACAGTGGAGACAGCAATTATGTTTTATTATTTTCTAATTTCTATCATTTAGAAATAGCATAAGCATTTAGTTTTATGTTGACAACACATCTTATATACTTTTTGTCAAGATTTATATTATAGATTTTATATGAATGTGATATTGGAAACTTACTGTGTCCATATTTCGTTATAAATAAAGTATTATAATGTTTTTATTATTTTTATTTCAATACTTATACAAATTACCTACATTATTCCTTATTAGAGGTGTATACGCTTTTAGAAAATGCTTAAAAATAAAAATCACGAATGATGAGACTTAGCAGCTATGCTGATTTCTCTGCACAATAGGTCATCATCATCATCAGCATGCAACTGTTCTGCAAGGAGAAGGCTTCTTCAATGCCTTATGCATGTGGGCCTAAGTTTTACTGTGGTCCCACTCTAGATTACATTAACACTTCTTATCAGTTTTGCAATAGATATTAAATTGGCGTACGCCGAAGAGTTTAGTGAGACGCTTCGTATAACTTCGGGACACCTCGTGATTGGAAGTCGCCCGAGGCAAAGCGAAGTGGCTCGAAGCGAATCGAAATACCTCTCTACACTATCTCCTGGTCCAACTTCAATCAATTTAGCGAGTAGTGTAGAGCACACTATAAATCATGAGATTTTTTTGAGCATTTACCATAGTCGTCTCTTATGATCATAAATGAAAATAGAACAGAGAAGAAAAAAGATCGTAAAAGAAGAGAATAAATTAGAGAGGTAGACTAGTACATAATAATATTTTGATCTAACAGCATCTTTACATTTTAATTGTTCCGTGACCCACATATTATGGTCCATTGCTATTGTCTTTCTAATGTGTCTGGAAACTGGACATTAAAAATGTTAAACAATATAGGTACATCATTAATGAAATCATTACCTACAATACCAACTTCACCATATTATTCCTTTATTGAAGTCTTATATGTTGCATGTTAAAAGATCTTATTTTGTTTGTTGCTGCCTGTGTGGGTATTTCATGGGGTCGATATGTTAACTTATTAATCACTTTAAATTTGGCCTTTCTTCAATATGTCACCAATTTGGTTGATGACACGGAATTTTAGGTGAAGTTACAGTCTACCTTTATATTCAGCCCATAGCGTTGTGCACACGCCTCATCTCATATCTAAGAGGGTTTTAGAGCAAGTAAACATTCTCTGCACTGCCCCAATGCCCAATAAATGCTGGTGGACTTAATGTCTTTAAATATTTTTTTTCTTAGACACATTTCTTAACAATGTTTCCCAAGTCAAGGTGCTGTTTAAGGCTCGGGTATGTTTGCACTCCTGTATTTCTAGCGAAAATTAGAATCAAAGATCATTCCCTTTGTGATTCCATGAGGATGAAGGTACTCCATACCATGCTTTTTTCAATAGTCAAAATCACCCAATTTCATTATATGACATATTATAATTATTGTGTAGTAACTAGCTTAACCTAAAGGCTACTCCCCTCCTATAACTAGATGTTTGTTCTGTATTGTGTTGTCCATAACTCATGGATTTAGTAGTTTTGCCTTTAGCCACATTATCACCTAATAACCGCCAACTTCTTTCCCACCGAGAAGCCTCAAGACAAGGTCTGACAAACCAAAGACCGGACATTGGCAGAATTATTGTGACATAACCACAAAACAAAGACCCCATACTGGCAAAAAAAGTTTCCAAGAAAAACTTTAATTACAACATTAAGTGATATAAGTTTGATCTTGTGGGTGGGTAGTTATTTTTGACATTGTTCTGTTAATATTAAAATTTGACTAGTATTGCTTAATTTATTTATGGTTCTTGACATTTTCTTTTCAAATGCTGACATTCAGTATTATTATGATGACTTGTATTAATTATATTGTTATTCATATTTGTTTAATTGATTATTATTAGGTAATTACATTGCATGATGATAACAAAATATTTGCATATAGATAGATCAAATACTCATTTACAAATGTAAGAACTTTATCTATACTACCATATTTTATGCAAATAAAGATTTAAGTAAAAAATACACCAAAACTTGTGAGATGCTCAATAAAAGCTGTTTTTGATATTCTTATCCATCAAACACAGGTCCACTGTACTATATTTATGTTCACATATATTTAAAAGTTAAAAATGAAATACAATACACATATAAAATAAAAATTATAAATCAGTTAATGAGTTTTTCCATCAAGAAATTTTTAGTTGCAGCCTAGTGTCAGGAAGTTGGTAGTTTCACTCTTGTGCGTCAGAAAGCATGTAAAGCCGGTGGTCCTTTTTCTGATCTCTTTTTCGGTGTGCCAGAATGCCATCCTATTGGACTATGACAGTAAGGAAATAGAGGTATTTGTGCATATGCTTAGGCACTATGATCCTGTCCTGTGCAAATGGCTAGGCTTCATTTTAGATGGGCCGACATGACTGAATATTGGGACTGGTGGAGGACAATATTAATATTAAAAATTAATACTTGCAATGTACATCGGTGAATTTTATTTAACTACAAACCCACTTACACTAAAACTATGAATATTCTTAAACATAACTCTGTATTCTTAATCCCATGACTCATTAACACGAAGATGTTTAAATCTCTCATAAAGAGTAACATCATCCTTAAATATTTTTCTGTTGGTCTCCTGAAAACCCATTATCCTTTTCTTTGGTTTGTCCAATGCTCTTGCATGTCCTGCACTTTCAGCCTGTAAAATTATAAACAGACTGAATTATTTTAAAATTTTTAATTGACAATGTTCCTTGTAACAATGTTTATAAATTAATTAAATACTCAAAGTATTTTGTACAGCGAATATTATAAAAACTAGGGTATAGGTTAGAAATAACTAAAACAGTTCCATAATTTATAAAAATGAATATAAATTGTCATATGTTTCATTTACCTCAGAAAGATAAGGAAATCTTAAATAAAACATATTCTGCTCTTCAATAGCAAAATCTTGTTGTAATCGGCGAAGATGCACAGGTTCCACTTTTTTTACTAACCGATCTTTTCCTCTAAATATATGACCATTGGGTAGGCGATTTCGCCTAAACAAAACAAGCGACAATTTCATTTTGATTATGGACAAGAACGTGAGCTAGTACGCTTGTGCACAAATTCAAATCTACTTTGATCTACTTTTAATTTTTTTATATTTTCTTTTTCTTTTCCTTATATTTTTTTAATCTTATTTAACGACAAAGGGATTTGTGGCCATACAGTCTAGTCTAATGTGTATTTTGTTCTAGAGATAGGCAGGTCCAGCTCCGCGATGTTAGCACCTCATGCGCGGAATTTCGATTTACCAATTATACCATCTGAAAGGTTAGAAATTGGTCATAAAAGGTCAGTTGATCTTATTAAATGGTCAGCGTTAGAGTTAGAAACATTTTTATTAAGGGTTAAAGTTTTTCAAGGTCATTGAGAAATTTTAGCACCTCATTCGCGAAAAATATAAAAAATTAAAATATGCGCGATTGAGAAGCATTCGCTGATAATTGGTCAGCTTATATAAATATTTGATCAGTTTAATTTAATATTTAAAAAAAATAAGTTGGCATTGTCGTAACACGCATGCTTTGGGACGGTTAATTGTATCAGGACAGTGAGCACTTACGCACATCTCTTTACTATGAGCGAGACGGAGGGGGGGGCGGAATATTTTTTATATTTTTTTGAGAAAAATACTTAGACATTTTCTACTATCAAATATATAGTAGTGGAGAAAGAAATAGGCAATTTTTTAAACTACGTGAAGGTGAAAGTGCATGCATGGGATTTGGGGATTTATTTTTAAACATACACACACAAACACATGATTTTTAGAGTTCCGTACCTCAAAAAGAGAAAACGAAACCCTTATAGGATCACTTTGTTGTCTCTCCGTCTGTCTGTCAAGACTCTTTTTCTCAGGAACGCGTGGAGGTATCAAGCTGGAATTCATTTCAAATACTCAAGTCTACTGTCCCTTCGAGCTGTGAAAAAATCAAACTTTTAAGCCAACACAATCAAAAGATACAGCCGTTTATGCCGCAAATTTTCGATATTCACAAGGGAATCAAAACCTACAGGGTACTTCCCGTGAACTCAGAATTTTGAAATTTGGTACAAAGCAACGTTTTATAGCACAGATAAAGGAAAAATTGCGAACAACATAAATTTTTAGTTACACCATATAATATAAATATTTTTATTAATTTTAAACTTATATGCCTACGGATTTGTTCCGAACCCTCGGTGCGCGAGTCCGACTCGCACTTGGCCGGTTTTTTTTTTAAATTAGAAATATTTTATTAACTTAAAAATTACCATGAAAATTAATTTCTAAAATACATTTATTATAATTTAAGTTTTTCAACTCTAACTTTATATTAATATTCTAAAATATTAATATTTTATATTATATTAAAATATTAGTTAAATAGCAATATATAATAATTGAAACAATTAATCATAACTAAACAAAACAAAATTTAACTGCCATTTACATTCCATAACTTCCCACATGATAGATGAAAAGTTTTAAAAATAGATTGAGCTACAATTAACCGTCCCAAAGCATGCGCGTTACGACAATGCCAACTTATTTAATTTACTTTAATATTAAATTAAATTGACCAAATATTTATATAAGCTGACCAATTATCAGCGAATGTTTCTCGATCGCGCATATTTTTTATTTTTTTCGCGAATGAGGTGCTAAAATTTCTCAATGACCCTGAAAAACTTTAACCCTTAATAAAAATGTTTCTAACGCTGACCAATTAATAAGATCAACTGACCTTTTATGACCAATTTCTGACCTTTCAGATGGTATAATTGGTAAATCGAAATTCCGCGCATGAGGTGCTAACATCGCGGAGCTGGCACGTCCGTACGGAATTACGGATACAAATCCACGCATCTGCATTCCTGGACTGAATATAGAATATTTATGTGCATATTTTGAAAATGTAAGTCATTCAGTCGGTCAGACGAATGAACTAATCGACGAGATTAGCAGATGATGGTGAATTTTCAAAATAGCATAGCAATGTGAATTGTGAAATGAAAGGGTTTATAAATAAATTACACATCTTTTAACAGCATATGTATTCTTTATTTTAGTCATACATACTTTGGCGGTGACGTTGTACATTTTTGAAAAAACTAAACTTTGAGTATAACAAAATCGATTGTTTAAATGATTAAAAAAATGTTCATATTTCTTGGCAGATTGCGCGGAAAATATAAGTAATATCACTTTTGTGTATATAAGAGGTTGACAGCAAATTTATCAAGGATCATTTCGTACTTGCACATTTGTCATGTATCATGTAAGATTTTCTTTAAAACTGGAAAAACCCGCGCTTCAGGACGCTTTCTGGGGCGCGGAAGGGTGACTCTCATCCGGTAAGGGGAGGAAGAGTGGATAAATTTAACTTCGCTCAATAACGTAGATATGCCGATAAATAAAATTACTCCATTAATTTTGCCAATTTTTCCATACATTGCTATTTAGAATGCTTGAACTATAAGCTTCATTAGTTTATAGTTCAGAAATAATATTAACTGTGTCGCTCAATATTTCCGGCCAAAAACTTACGACCAAAATTAAAATCAACCACAGCTACATCAAAATTATAAATTATAAATACCGGCCCGTTTGCAATGTCAATAAAATATAGAATACAATTCCAGAATGTATTAGAAGCATTAAAAGCGTAAAGAAGTTCAAAAAGGAATTTAATACATATATTGCTAAAAAACCTTATTACTTGTTGCAGTAATTTTTAGTCTAAATAGAAAATAGGAAATAGGAGTAAATATTTTTTTCTCACTATGATATCGTTTTTATTTAAGTTAATTATACATATTCATGAAATATTATCAAATATATAAATACTTTAAAATAATACCACAATGTTAATGTAGTAATAATGTAAATAGTAGCCAATATTTGCAGTGCCCTTGCAGGGTTTTTGTTTTGAACTATTTTTATAATTAGACCAAATGTATACAAGAAGAATAGCAAATAAATTGAATTGAATTGAAGTTGAAGTCGATGGATACAAGTGGTTCAGCATCGTGTTTTGTGACATTACTTTGGGGAGGCCTATGTTCAGCTGTGGACTTGTGAAAGGCTGTAATGATGATGATGATGATTATATTAAATACAGATCTGATTACATAATATGCTAATTAAGATAAAATATAGACTAGTTTAGTATGTATGGTCTGACACCTTTGCCTGCTTCAATTGGCAAATATTAATAACAACAACAACACGATATCTATGATTGTGGTCATAGATTACTTTTATTTTTATGTACCTAGAAATTATGGCTGTCGATGTCGAGTTCGAGTCGATAGACAAGTACTATTTTTAATGGTAATAGGGTCTCAAACACCTTATTGAATTCGTGTAAAATTTAATTTTCTAATGTAAGGTGATCTCTTTAAATTTTAAGAAGCAAGTATGGCATTAAGGGGCTGAGGATTGCTTTTTATTGGGGGCAGTTCTCGAATTTGGTAAGCATATTATTGTTGTTACTCGCGCTTCCGTAATTTAAAAACAGATTTCTTTATTTTACTTACAAATAAACTTTAACCTTTTTCAATTTAAATTATATAGTTCGTCTATACAATAATGCTTAATACATAAATGTAAGATAAGTTTAGAACTATATCATTGAAAGTTCATTTCGGATACCCTTTCACTTCAATTTGTACACTATTTTCGTGCTCTACTTATTTTGAAGATGATGTTTTTTATACATGGTCACGACATAACTTCTTTGTTACTTTATCAAATAGGGTTCTAATTAGACCCAATTAAATATAAATTCACCATTTTGAAACGTTTCATTTATAATTTATTTAACATTATTAAAATCAAAATAATTTATAAAATTGACCTACATAATATTTTGAAATGGTAAATAAAAATATTTTACTTTTATACTGTATAATAGTATTAGATGTTTCACAAGGTGCAATTAAGAAAATGCTACCACAGTAAATTGCTCTTTTTTTCGTTGTGGATACTCTTAAAGAATTTTTTTAGGAGTATCAACAAAGAAAAAATTTGCACAAAGTTTTAGCCCAAGCTGATGAACGGAATGGCTGCACATTAAATACGGTATGACTTTCCATTGACGTCCGTCGAGTTTGGGGTTGATATTTTTTTTTACAGAAAGGTTACATTATTATAAGCACACACGCAAAGTTTCAACATGCAGAAATGTGTACTTTTTGAGAAAAAAATTATTGAAAATCAATTGTTTTTGCAATATTTATGCAAATCCTCATTGACATCCGTCGAGTTGAAGGTTGATATTTTTTTTACAGAAATGTTACATTATTATAAGCACACACGCAAAGTGTCAACATTGCAAGACACATACTTTTTGAGAAAAAAAAATATACTACTAACTATTTTTGCAATATTTATATCAATTGCTACCATAAAACTGATGCTATTCTGTATTGTCATTAGGGATGTCGATTCTTTCCGAAAAAGATCAGTTTTTTAAATCGTTTCGAATTGTAGGCTGATGTATTGATTCACAAAAAAATCGATTTCTAAATATCTATATTTTTTATATTTGCATTTATAATGTAAAAATAAATCCATTTTATGAGAAAAAATCTTCTTCATCATAAAAAAATAGGGGGACTGATTCAGAAGGATTTCTGTATCTATTTTGAGACTGCTACGTCTCTGGCGCTGCAGGAAGAGCAGCCTCTACGCCTTTGCGCCCTGCTCCCCCTACACGCCTCCGGCTCTATAAAACCACTCTAGAGGTAAGACAGACTCGTAGCAGGTGGAGTCAGGGTCAATCAATTCGGTTCTTTGACATAAGTTGAACCTAACCTATTTTATTTGTTATCTGTCCTAATAGGTACTGTTAAAATAAAACAAATTTCAATAAGAGATCATTTATTATGGTATCTTTCTTGTTTTTATAAAATGGATTTATATTTACATTATAAATGCAACCATGAAAAAATCAATTTCTTGTGAATCAATACATCAGCTTACGATTCGAATCGATTTAAAAATCAATCTTTTTCGGAAAGAATCGACATCCCTACTGACGATGACAATGACAATACAAAATAGCGTCAGTTTTACGGTAGGAATTGTCATAAATATTGCAAAAATAATTGATTTTCAATAACTTTTTTCTCAAAAAGTATGCGTTTCCGCATGTTGAAACTTTGCCTGTGTGCTTATAATAATGTAACCTTTCTGTAAAACGACGTCAATGGAAAGCTAAGCCTTAAATACTAACAAACAAACATTAATTTTTATATATTAGATTTATTTAGGTACTGAAGTCATATTGACATCAAAAGGTGACCTACATGAACATAGTTATTGCAAAAATTGTGATTTAGATGGTATACAAAGAAAATGCACATGACATACAACATATTTAAAGATTTTAGGTAACAATATCAATTTTACCTTTTGCCTTGGAATGTAATTTATACAAAGTATATCCACCTAAAACAGATTTTTTAATTGATAAGTTTGTTATTATATACATCAATGTCTTTGCTATTATTGATCAATAGAGCAATGTAGTGGCAACACATTCTTAATTGGGAATGTCTTATTTCTGTTATTGCAAAGCAAATTAGGCTTAGTGTAGGAAGCTGCTTATTTGTTCTTAATAAAGCTATTTTGTTGAAGAGATAGGAAGGTTTGAATAAGATGATAAACAAATGATTCAAATGGTTTGTTGATTACCAGAATGACCAAAACAATATGAGCTGTTTTTCATACTGGTACAAAAACACCTACTTAATTCCTTACTGTATTTCTCAATAAGAAAAGGAGAACATCAGATCCAAACCCTTTTCTTTGATCTGAGTTTTCAATCTTACATATGATATATATCTTTGTCTGTTAAAACATTTTTGTCTGTTTAAAATATCACTTAAGACAATCACTACGAATTGAAAATATATTGTGAGATTCCACAAAGAAGTTGTGCAAGGTAGGACACTATCCTATACACATACTATTCTATTTCTTTTTTATCAGAAGATCTTGCTGTGCTTCATCATTTTTGAAATGGTATTAGAATTATTTTTCGTAACATTAATAAAAGAAATTAAATGCCATCTTCTAAAAAAGATTCAACAGTCAAAACAACATTTTTATACGTGACTAGCGATTTTGCACAATTATCTATTTTAAATATTAAAGTAGGTGTAATGTATTATAAATTTTCATGGTATATCAAATATTTTGTTCCAGTTTTCTGAGGTTTTAAAATAAATTGATTCTCCACATTTCCTAAGCCTGTAAAAAATATTAGAAATCTTACCAGTGTTGAAACAGATACACTTGTTTACTTTAGCTTTGTCCATAGCATAATGTTGTATGGTATTTTGCTATGGGGACATGCGGCTGACACTGTAATTATATTTGTTTTACAGAAGAGGGCCATAACAGCAATTTATGATTTAAAGCCTATAGTCGCTGTGACAAAAATTTGAGGAAATTAATATACTTATTAACTTTGGCCTCTCAATACATTTATGAAAATGTAATGTACGTACACAAAACTAAAAGTAGTTGCACAAAAATAAGTGATATACATTCTGTAAATACTAAGAACAGACATAAGCTTGTAGTACCAGTTACTCAACTCCACCAAGTCAGTAATTCATTATTGAAGCGATATAATACACTTTCTTAACAAAATTCCAGAAAATATACAAAATTTGACCTGCTCAAAGTTAAAAAACTTTATTAAATTAAGTTTGTATAAAAAGGGTTATTATAATATTAAAGAATTTATGGATTATAATAACCCCTGGGAATGTGGTTATTGCTACCAAGCTATTTCTAATTTCTTTTGTGTTGTTAATTGTGTAACATACATTATTGTAAGCTGTTATTTAAAAAAAGTCTCACTGGATTTCTTGCTGGTTCTTCCCAGGACAGGTGTTTTTTTCGAACAAGTGTTCAATAAGTATTATTTATAATCTATATTGAATAAAAAAGTTTCTGTTTCATACTGGATATTTGTTTTTGTCAACTTTATATGTATGTTTTGTTATAATATTCCTGACAGAAGAATAAATGTATCAGTCAGTCAAATAAAGAGTTAAAATCACTTACATTTTAATAAATTACCATTCAAGATTTAAGTATTTAAAAAAATAGTTTTAAATAAATTAGGTTGTTTTAGGGTTTTAGTCTTAAATTTTCTTGAGTTTATTTTATTAAATTAACATCTGTAACTAAGGAGGTTCTGCGATGATCTAAGTGGCTCAATGATTCCATTTCATAAACCTGAATGTTGTTTAAACTAAAAATATTTAGGTCTAAAACATTTGATATTAGCTTTTCACCATTACGGATGATTAGGAATTATATAGTTACATACAAATGAGTTGGTCTCTAATAATAATGACTCTCAAAAACAGCATTTTTATGGAGTTTTGAAGGGAAATGAGCCTGTAGTTCTATAATGGAGTGTTGTTGATTCTTGAAGAACAAGACAACCATTTCTACTCCACTCCCCGGGAGTTGTTCTCCCATGGAAGTTGAAATTGAAGATCTTCTTAAAGAACTTTAAAATACGGGTTTTCTATCTTCTTCAGAAGCTCCACTGTAATTACAATTAGCCAGCCAACTTTTCTCAAACTGTCATTCAGGATATTATTGGAATAGTGTCAGATGAGACCTGCTTTTGCTTCGTTACTGACACTTGTGTGTGGCTCCAGCGACGATGTGTACAGCTGTCCATAGAACCTCACAATCTCACTCGAAATTTCAGATGGACCAGTATTGATGCTGCCGTAGTCGGTTTCAACTTTGACAATTTGTGCTCTAGCAAAGACTAGAACTTTTTTTCCGCACAATACTTCTTCAATACAAGCTGTATTGAAGTTGCGTTAGTCTTGCCATATGCATTTGGAGATCTGTCTGTTTAGTTAGTTGCCTGTATGCTCATATTTGCTGAGGACTGCAGCTTCATTTACCGACTAACAGCCATGTGATTAAGATTGTAATCGGAGAGATTTTGTGTCCTTTTGCGACAGGTCTCGCAGGACTTCATGTACCGTTTTTGCTAGCTTATCGTTTATACAGTCCACTGTTTTGCAATCTTTTAGGCACTGACAACAATTTTGTAATTCGATCTAAAAGTTATCGGGATTAGAGCATGAGAGGGACAGAGTGTTGACTTTTAGACGCGACCTCTCCAACTTAAAGTTAAGGTTTAGTGTGCCTCCCACTATTCGGTAATCGGTACTCCCTTGCAATCACTGAGACGTCGTTATAATTGAGTCAGTCTCATTTCAAAACGTTGGGGCTAGATCAGGTTCACTTTCTGTGAGGCCTCTTCTGGAGGAAATGGTTTATTATAATAGCGTTCCTCCTTCACCATGAAGTGGGCTAGCTGTTGATTTTTTGATTACCATCGCATATTCCAAATTTTCCTACCTTTAGCTCACCATCCTTTCTTATGGCTAATTTTGCGTTCAAGCTTCCCATCAACACAGTG